TATAAAAATTTAACCAAATATTATTTTCATTACCTGTACTATATTTTCACTCGTCTTCGATGATTTAGAACAAATCTACATAAAAAAGAGATAAAATGAGACCACATTGAGTTGAACACGAAAAGCACACACACACATACATACAAAACAAACTATATACATATAATATTAAATGAAGTGAATCGATGTTCGTGAATCAAAATTGATTAGATAAGATAAAAAAAAATTACTATGTGATAACCGGTAATATATTTCATCGGATGGTTAAAATTTTGTGCTTGAGCAAATGGAATCCTGATTCAATCGAAAGAATCATAACAATTGTAACCCGACACACAATTACAAATTATATAAAATGAAAGACAAAACACACTCACACTTTTCGCTGTAATCATCTGTCAAAGAGCATGAAAATTATTTAATACTAAAAGCATATTATAGAAATAATAAAGTGGCTTGCATCTAACTGCTGTAATTGCCAATAAAAACAAAACATATTTTAGAAGAAACTTTACTACTTTAATCAACACAAATAATGTCAGATGCGTGCCAATCGTTCGAAATTTAGAATGAAGTTAAATGACATGAATAGAACGTGCAATTTCGGCCAAATATCTATACAAAATGTTAATTTATATGTGTCGGCATCGATTCGATTGGCATAAATCTGGCATTGAACTTCATCAAAAAATATACACAGATACAAAAAAAAAAAAAAAACATTATAAATAGAGGTAAATCTAACCGATTTGATGCAAATAATCAAATGAAAAATGTACCTTTGTTGATGACGATGAATACTGAACGAAGCAACAAATAAAAAAAAACAACAGCATTTCAACTGAACATTGTAAATTTGTTTTTTGAAAACCAAATTGCATCTTAAATACACAAACACAGACACACACATTTTTTAGAAACTAACATAATAATTTGGACAATATTTTGTTGAAATTTTATATAGACATTTACTAAGCAAAAAAAAAACTATTAAAGATACAAAAAACTTAAGAAATGATTATAGTGAATCAATACGATGGAGATGATATAGAAATCGCTGAAAATGAAAACTAGAATCGCATTATTGTTACAGTTTTTTTAAAACACAAAGTCGCTTAAAATCAACGGCTTCAAATTCAGATAAACGATTTCATTTCATTTTTTGTACTGCAACGAAACCACATAAGGCGGGAACGAATTAAACAAAAAAACAAATACATAATACCAATAACAACAGCCCACTATAGACAAATTTAGTGACGAATTCAAATGGTGATTATTAGCTCGATGATAACAATTGTTGAAATTGAGCTATCGTTCGATACATACATTTTTTTTGATCACTTGAAAAGCAACCAACATGAAAAGCAATAACAAAACGCTTATTTCTTTCGAATTAATTTAGTTGTTTTTGTTCTAAATTTAGGAAAACGAAATTCGTGTTCATTTTGGCACTTAAATGCAAAGAAACCAATTGGTTTTGTCTTCAATTGCCTTCAACAGAAAGAATAAATGATGGAAAACAATGATTCACCCAAATTGAATGAACTGTTTTGAATCAAACTTATTGAAAAGCAATACTGAATTGAATGACCAAATGCAAACTTACGTTTGTTTTTCTTCTTCTTCTTCTTTTTTAAAATAAAAAGCAATGTATACTTTTGGCGAGAAAAAAAAGAGATGTGAAATGAGGTGATAATCATACATTTTGTTTGGCATTAATCAAAAACTCTTTCGATACAGAGAATATATTTAATTTTAGATCGAATATGAAGCGATTTATTTCTGCTTCATGTATCACAAAAGATTTAAATAAACCCAGCTGAATTTAAGAATGAACATAGGTAAATCAAAAGAAATACATCAATTTTCATTCATTTTACACACTTAGAAAATGCCTACCGAATCAAATAAAATAAACCATTTAACAAAATAGGACAAACGAAATATGTAGACAAACGGCTTAAATAAGAAATAAAATCAAAATATTCTATATTTCTCTAAAAAAAAATCCAATTCTACAATTATATTTAAAAAAGAAAAGAAAAGCCGAAGTGGACAGAATGCACATCACATTCACAAAACTAATATAGAACAGACAAAACGAAACGAGATTTAGGAGCTCTCACATACATATAGTATATATAAATCTATACATATATATAAAAATGGTTAAAAAAATAAATGAAATGAGAATGGTTGTGGATTTAGACAAAAAAAAAACACTACAAAATGTAATAACATTAGCGAAAAAAAAACTGACTAAATAGCGATAATAAACAAAATGCGACAACATTAAATAAATCAAATACACTGAACCATACACCCAAACAGATACAAATACACACAAAAAAAAACACTCACTCACCACCACGACGATGACGACGATACAGTGACAAGTAATGAACATAAAATATGTATACCTTAATTGTTACAGAATAAAAATGAAATGCAAAAAAAACCTATTTATTAAAATATTAAAGTGTAAACGAAATAAAAACAAATGTTATTTATTATAGGGATAGGAGGATGAAAGTAAGCGAAAAACACAACAAATGATGAAGAAAAAAAAATTATATGTATTCATGTCAGAACAAAAATAAAATAATTTACTCATAATAAATGAAAAATATTATATACGAAAATCGGTGTGTTTTCATTACAACAACAGCAGAATCGATATTGCTCTATTTTTCCTAGATTTTACTGTACCAAAATCGAAAGCATGATGATTGATTTTGAGAAGAAAATTCTGATGGCAAGTATTTTTTTTTTTTTTTGGTTATATTATTCAACTTTCAATCGAATGATCCATTTTGTTCGATTGAATTGTTCTTGTGTGACCGAGTATTATGCGCTGCTGCAATCTAGTTTGTAATTCTTAGCGCAATTTTCAATGCTTTATTATTGTTCTGATTTTTTCTTCTTCAGCGCTATATTGATGTGAAACCGAGATTTCTATCTGGTTCAAACCATTCCAGTCATCGATTTCAATTGCTTTTCGTTTTGTTTACCAAAGCACTATTTGTTCTTTCGTTTGATTCTTCTCGTGCTTTGTGCGTTTCGATTTTAATGAATCTCATTCCACCTGTTAGAGCAACCTATAAGAACGCAAATGGCTGGCTCACACAAAAGAAAATGAGTGGAAAGAATTGTGTCAAATGGTATGTGATAGCGGTGGCGGTGGTATAGAATTGTGCAGAAAGTAGTATTCACATTTCAAACGAATACAATGCAAACAATATACGATGAAATCTGTACAGCAGCAGCCTCTCTCAATTGTTTGTTTAGTAAATTTACCTACCTGTAACATACACACACAAAAAAAAAACAAATAAAACTAAATAAATAGCTGCTATCAATTAAGGCAGATTAAGATCGACGGAATCGACTGAAACAGATACTCGAAAAAAGATTTGTTTTGTCGACATTGAACCACGTATTATCCACTCTTCCGTATCGTGTGTCCAGTGAAAGTAATTCTTCAAGCGAACGAAATTCTCTTAGACCAGTGTTTAACAAACCGTTTTTATCTAATTTTTAGAATCTCATTTTTTTTGCTGCTTAATGTCTATGAAATGATGATCATTTAAATTTTTAATTTCTAAACTATATATTTCCACGCATATTGTTTCAATAAAAAAGTGAAAAACAAATTGTGTTAAGCATCTGAATATATGTAGTTGAGTCAAGCTAGAGCTTGAGTAAATTTGTGCCGTTGACATGCGTGTGAACCGAGCACATCTCAATAAAAAGCCGTTGATAACTTCTATTTCATCAAAATTCACAAAGAAATGTAGAAAGATTTTTAATTTTAACTCTTTTTTTCCATCATCGTCTTTTCATTAAATGCCGTACGATTTGCGCGTGTGAATACACCGTTGAATCCATTCATTCGGAGCCAATTTAAAAAAATAATTCGCCTAATCGGTTCAGTTTTTGGGTTTTTTGAATAAAATGGATGAAATGCAAAATCAACATAAAATCGGTTTAGTAAAAGTCAATTTCTGTCCAAATTCATGAATCTTAACATTTCTTAACTCAATCACAAAATTATTCTACCAAAACCCCGTTTTAAATTCATTAAAAGGTTTTCGATTTATGAATAGAGAAAATCAACATCAAATAATAGAATGTATATATGCGCTCGTGCCATCATATTCACATTTTTGAATTTTGTGTTTGCTTCAAAAAGGCACATGGCAATCAAATGAATGCCACAGGAAAAAGCAGGTTACATTAAATGCACGGACACACACTACTCTTTCAGGCCATGCGAATCCATTGATGGCTAGTGCTTAATTCATTAGTTCACTATACTTTCAATCTATTAACGTATAAAATCCGTGACACAATATTAGATTGGTTTGCATTGGGAAACGGGAGAAATAACAACAACTAAAAAATGAGAATAAACACAGTGTGTATGTTAAATTAGTTCAATAAACAAGAGCTTGAATGCATGTCATCGCCGGCGTACGCACCTTGTTCGAGTTTTGTCTTACACGCAATAACAATATACATTAAAATGCAATGCTAACGAACGTTTGTATTTGTTCTTCATCTTTCACTCCGTTCAATCGACATCGAAATGGAAGCATCGTACAATAAACGTGCGTTAAGATCAGGGAATGCTTTTTGTTGTGACGTTGTTGATCGTGTAAATTGCAGGCACCAATATGATAACAAAACTGCAAACAGAAACACACTCAAAGCGTATGTATCCAAATGTCGCGATGTTCGTGTAACAATACCGTCGCATTTATTGACGAGAAAACATAACAAAGCATCTGTGTTGTGATTCACTTTTCACATTCTGTGCTTGCTCGTTCTTTTTCGAATGCCATTCACAAAGACATAACGATGATGATAGAGAGCGCTCAATTGTGCTTTCTTTTGCTGAACTTGTTACACACCATCGCCAACACATACTGACGATCAACGATGTGGTTTTCTTTTTGGCAGCAGTGTGCCAGAGCAAAGGAAGAAATGAAGACAGAATAAAAAAAGAAAAAAAGAAGAAGAAGAAGAAGCGATACGCGTGCGATGAGTAAACCAATGGCAACGGCATAATACAGCACAGTCGATAAATGTTTGCCGAGTTGGAACGACAGCAAGTACCATGCTGATAGAGAAAAAAACACACACGAAAAAAATCAATTTTAAATATCGATAAATCAGTGCAACAAGTTTTTAGGCATAACCCACCGACAAACATACATTGTAAATGATCGCCTTTGAACAATAATCAAATTATTTCATAATTTATGTGCGTGAGTGTGATTGGCCGCGTGCGCAACTTCCTCATCCTTATCTTGTGCCCTATTCAATAATCAAACAAGTGAATTCACCGAGTGCACATCAAACAACAAATGAGAAAATTGATGGCATCGACAAGGGCCAATGACGATTAATAAGAAATATTAACAAGCAATATTTATTACGTGATAATAACGCCGAGTAAATAATTATCTTGTAATTAAAATCTAATTAATGTCTTTGAACATTACGTTTTGTTTTCGTGATATTTAGATGTTGGCGTTACTGTTATTGTCTCTGTAAAATTTGCTTTTCATGTTGCACACATATATCCGGATAAAAGTTTCTCAATAGTGTTTTCATTATCATTTTTAATTGTGTTTAAGAAGAAAATAAAGCCGATTCCAATGAATTGAGCGTACCGTGAGTTTGCAAAATAGCAAAAAAAAAACGTAATTGATAAAGACCGGATAATGTGTATGCTGCATATCATGAAACGGCTAATTCATTCTTCGGATGTAGTTTTATGCAAACAAATCATATGATGTCAACATCCTGACACTTAACAAGATTTAAAAGACTAAAAAAGAAGACTATTCATCTAAATTCAATCTGGATTTCAAGATTTAAAACTTGAGGAACAAATTCAAATTAAATCATAAATTATTCAGCAAGGATTTTCGAGTGAAATTACCTTACTTCGTCGAAAAATTCCGTCACAATCAAAAATAAGGTGCAGACGCCAAAGCTCAATTGACAGCTGAGAAGTGAAACACGTTAAAACATTTACCGTTCGAATTCTTTTTGCCATTCACATTAATTTATTTAAAAATTATACGAAATCCAAGCAGGTCCCGGCGAAAACGCGTTAAGGTGAGTGTCGTCAAACAACTTCTTACATATATATTGTTTTTAATCACTGAGAATGTGACCATTGTACGCGAATGTGTTTATCTTTTAACAACGTAGAAGTGTAGCATATTTGATGATTGAGAATAACTTTGTGTCATCGACCAAAGTTAGCTGGTTTGTTTGTTTTATTTTATTTTTTTTTTTGCAGTTCTTCATTTTCGGCGCGCAGACATACATGAAATGAGTTCGCATAACAGCATAACGGATTCAAACGAACAGAAAAAATCTCGCTCTGAAATGATTCATGAAATAAAAGTTTTTTAAGATTGTTTTCATTTCATTTTTGAAGCAAATGAATGCTTTCAAACAAAAAACCGAACGGATTTGCACTTTTTCTCATCAACTTACTTTGTACACCTACTACATAATGCTGCTGCTGCTGCTGATAAGAGGTTATGCGAGTTCGCATCTTAAATCTCACCCAATTAAGATTCATTCTTTTTGCATAGACTTTTTATTTTCTTCATTCTGTTTCGTTTCATTTTGCAATAACAACACCATTACAAATTGAAAACAGGAAAGAACACACAAACGAATGAAAAGAATTATTTACAAATCGCGCGATTCATATGCTGTTGAAATCGCGGAAAAAAAGTCTTGCTGAAAAGAATAACGAATATAATCTGATAATGTTTGCTATTGTATGCTTTCGCATGAAAACTTATTACTCACGACATATTTTACACATGCATGTGTATTTATGGGGATATGCATACATGAATACACGTATGAGGAGAGAAGTGTATCTTTTCTTATTCACTTTAATTGTGAAAGTTTTTCAATGTGATATGCATGCATATGGAATCGTAAGCGGCGCAGAATATGCGATTTGGCTTGAATTGCAAAATATGCAATCATACACCAAACCCATGAATTACCAAGTCGAATGATGATTGTTAACCAGAACACTGCAAGAACCGATTTTTGTTTTGTGTCTGCTGGCAAATTGAATAACTGTGAAAGATTCATAAGAAAACGTCCACGCTTTCTGTACCACAGGCAACAGTATTGTTTCGTCTCTTGTTTAAATGAAAATTTACTAAAAATTTGTCAAGTGCATATTAAATTCCGTCTTATTTTCTCTCTTCAAAAGAAATGTATAAACAATAAATGGATGTGTGTAAGACGCCACCAAAATGAGGAATCGATGCAACAATAAATATACATCATGATGTATTTACACTTCTTCGAAGAGCACGGCACACACTCATTTGGTTTATTTTTGTCGGATCATTTGCTACGGAGAATTACCAGGTGAATTGCGTAATTGTTGGGTGATTCAACAATTATCATGGTTGTAATTAAACACTTGAAAGGGATTTTTTTTTTCGATGCAATTATTGAAAATGTTAGGAAAATTGCAATGAACACTACGTATTCACGCCAACATCCGCTGATTCCATAAAATAGTTTAACCGAGAACTTTGAAATTGCCTACATCGCTCTCTAGAACACTAAAAAATACAGCATGCATAAACATACAGCATTGATTACAATCTCCAGATGTTTGCAATATCTTAAATGTGTAGTACACGTGCGATGTAATTGCAATTGAATACTTTGTTAAAAGAGTTAAAGTGTCCGCAAGCGTCGTTTTCCTAACACAATTTTTATTTGCATTTATTCATTGGGTCAGTTGAAACTTTTTAGGCCAGTCAAATGGTTGCATGCCATTCGATTAGGTGCTAAATTACCAAAAAAAAGTAGGTTTCTCGTGAAAAAATGAATAAAACATCAAAAATCCACGAAAAATGGAGAGTTGTTGCTCATCGTACGTGGTATTATTTATCTTGCAAGTTAAAAAGTAAATAGAAATTTATGATGGCGGTCAATGCGACACGTTCATCATCTCTCTCCGTCTTCACATGGTTCGAGTGAATTTGTTTGGCTATTTTTTTTTGACACTTTATGTTAACTGAATATTAAAAGTGCGCGCACTTTCATCAAAGTAAACAATTTCTTAGTCGGTTTGTTTGTTTAAAGAATCTGAAAGTAAAACGACGTCGATTTTTGGTCGGCCGGACAAACATGTTGAGTCATTTTGAGTTAATAATGCGATACGTGCATGAAGCACCGAAAATGCTATGCACATAGTTATATTTCTCTCTGAAGATGTTCAACACGAAAAATAATTACTGGCTCACTGTGTGAAATGACTTTCGAACATATCAGACCAAATTAAGATTGAAAGTGAACATAAAGCGAGCAACAAAGTTCAAATACCGATCAACAAATATTTTCATTTTCGAAATAAGCAATTTAGAATTTGTTTTTTTTTTTCACGCACTATGCACTCCAAACACGCGCGTTCAATAAACGGACGATAGAATCAACGGAAATAAAAACTTATAGAATCAATTTTGTTATTGCTTCTACCATAGAAATTAAATTCATTCTTCCGTATTTTGGTTTTTTTTCTATTCGTTTGCTGCCATTGGTATCACGCAGCGAACAATTATCCGTTTGCACGCAACTCATTTGCATTTGCTAAGCGTTGTCAATTGAATGACAATCCAATTTGTTATTCGAAAAATCAAAAAGCGGTGATGCTGTTATGTTTACACACTTTATGTAAAGTTTGATACCTTACGGCAGCATGTATTGTGTATCCCACAAAATAGCATGTGAAAGCATTCATTGTCGTATGTGAACAAAAAATTTATGATGAAATATCCATATAATAGCTTATTGTTTTTTTTGAATTATACTGAAAAAAGCACACAAAAAATCACCATTTTCTTAAAATATTTCAATAGAATTTTTCGAGGAAAAAACGGAAAATTTACAAATTGAACTAGTTCTAGTGACCCATATCGAAGTGTGACCCAATTCCAGAAAGAGGCATTTTATATTCGTTGATGAAAAGGAATGCACATCATTTTAAATGCTCATTCACTGGAATCACACCAATCTTTTAAACGTATATAATGCGAATGAAATGAAGACAATTAAAACTAATTCTTTTCTTTCGTCGGCGAAAGCAAATAAAATAAAAACACATCACAAAAGTGTCCACACCAAAAAATGAACATCTAAATATGAATCGAAATAATAAAACGGGAGACAAAATAGAATAAAGATTATGACTTGTCTAAATTTTTTGTCTGGCCACTCAGCTGTGCGTATATGTCGTTTTGTGTCTGAATCGACCGTGATATGAATATCCGTAAGCACAATTTTTGAATTTTCTATAATCCGGTTTATCATCTCATAATAATGGTACAATAAAGTGTCAGGTAGACGAGGTTCTGTTAAAATGAAACCCAAATGAAAAATTACACGTCTTCTTTAAAAGTCATTGGATGAGGAAAATGAATGCCAAAACAAATAAATTTCAATAATACAACTGTTTATCGGATAATCATAATGGAAACCACTGAACTAAAAAAAGAAGAAGAAAAAAATACGAAACATATTTGAATACGAATTCCCAATCGACGGATAAAACCGAATAGTCAAATAAACAAGATGAAAATAGTTAAGCCCATCAGTTCTCTTTTTATCTAAATCGAAAGAAGAATTAGGAAAGAGTTAAAATGAAACGAACGGTTTTGATTGCTTTAAAATGCAAATTAGAGTGTTATCGGAATACACGAAAACAGTAATGCAACGTAAGAATCTCGAGATGATATAATTTCTCACAATCAAAGATCGATCTGAATCTTCATTGTAATTATCAATCTGTCGACCGCGTGCAATTCAAATCAAATTAAATGGTATTCCGTGTCCACTGTCCACTTCCTAGTTAGTACAAATAGCGAGGCAGAGAACAGCACCAATTGAGAAAAAACCAATTTTAACAAAATATGCAAACATTCAATAGACAAATCAAATTATTGTGAAACAATCAGCACGCTTCATATCATTGTCTCCCCAAAATGTATTACATTTGATGTTAATTTGATGTAATAAGCGTTGTTGCACCACCAACAGCGTGCGTCATTTGCTACAATCAAAAATTAATAAATCATCGCAACGCAGAAATGTTGAGAACAAAGAATAAAAAACCGACAGTTTTCTTGCACTTGACTTTTTGATGATGTTTTCATTTATTTAATTCATTTTTTCACATTGCCGGCACATAATAACAGTCGAATCAACACAATTTGACTTACGAAACTAATGAATTCGTCAAATTCTTACATGCTACAGATTGCCGACATGGAAAATTATCCAATTAGATGTGGTCATTTGTAAATGAGTTAGCACAAATCATAATTCCGTGTACTACAATCAATGAGTAGCCGGGACCACTTTGTTTTCAAATCGCTCACAATTGAATGGTATTGATCCGATGAGAAAACTCTTTCGAAACTATTATTAATGATTTGAATGAATTTACGCGATTCGACGGTTGGTCGGTTGGTCAAAGGCGCGTACCCATTTACAATGGCTCTACAATCCACATAGAACTACCACACAGAATCAAGCATTTATAATTACCCTGGCCTAATTTCACTCTTTAAAGTTTGATCCAATTAGTTTGTGTTTCACCCATAATAAATACAAGAATAATATGTATACAGAACTATCTTAAGTTTCACTACTGTTTTGATTTGATTTTGGGATATAAAAAACACGTAAGAATTATGAGTATACTCTCGCCGCATGTTTGCACTTTGGTTTTGCGGTTTTTCCTCTCGCATTCGTTTTCAGATGAATTTTCCCACATTCATTCTGGTTAAAAAGGTGTTACATACTTTGTTTTCTGTTTTTTTTTAGCACAAATATTATTGTCGCATCCGAAATGGCTTTTAACCTAGAATGATTTTATGTTTTGCGGGTAATTCAATTATGGCTATGATTTATTTTTGCACCATAGCATCAAATAATTAAAAAAGAAACAGAACAAATTACAAATAATATCACTTTTATGTCTGTTTCACTTCCCATCTTGTTATAATTCCACTTCATTTCACTGGACCCGCATTTGTGTTTATGTTTAATTTTCAGTTTCTCTCATGTGCCTACGGTATTTGATAAAGTGCTTTTTCTTCTTCTTCTTCTTTTTCATATGCGATATGGGTCTGTTATAAAAGTATAATTTCAATTTTTTTAAGTGAAAAAAAAAGTTCTCATTTTTTCCTACCATTGTCCAAATTTCGTCGGTCGGTCACCAAAACTATTTATATAATCACGATTTTCTGCAGATTTTAATTCAGTAATGCACAACATCTTATGATTTGCACACAAGTGTTGAAATTTTCAGTGCGTTTCAAGCAGTTTTATCAAATATTTGAGTTTCTTTTTTCTGTAAGTGTTTCATCAGTTCGTCTGTTGTTCATGATATACAATAGAAACAGAACAACTCAATTGAAATCAACGAAATTGATTATTATAGAAAAGTAAAAAAAGAATCAACAGTGCTAGAGAGTGAAAAAGAAAAGAGATTGTGATTTTCTTTTTTTTTAGACAAGAAATAATATCGAGCAACGAAACTATTTCCAAATTAAGGTGAAGATCTTTAGAACATTGCGGCAACTCGTAATTACAGTGAAAGAATCAATTCAAATCGAAAGAAATTCGAAATACAAGCAAATCAACAATAGAAGCGATCAAGTGTACTTTACAATTGCAGAGTAAAATGTTTCGCATTTGAAATGTCATACATAAAAGATCGGACAACGATGATGCACAAACACCTTTAAGTCGAAAGAAGTTTGAATGATATTTTTTATCGTTCGTATATTTTCGCTTACATCGAATATAATCGGATGTGCGTGTAACTGACTTTAATTGGTATTATTTTCGCGGTGACAGGGAAAGATAAAAGTGAAGAGAGAAAAAAACGCATTTTTTTACAACTTTCCATTTTAATTAGCGTAGCGTTTTTTTCTCCATTGCGTACGCTTTTTTTCATTTCTCGTTTGTATTATCTCGTAATCATTTTTGTCACAGTCAAACGTATTTTGATTTTTCGAATGTCGTGTCCACATGAAAAGAGAATCCAATGGATTGAGAATTAGAAAAACGGGTTCATTCCAAATAAATCAATCGATGCGAATAAAAACGAAAAGTGCTTTTTAAATCATTATAGACTTTTGTAATATAAATCCTCATTAAATAAATATAGCCATACATAGATTGCAAACTCAAAAGAAAAAAAAAACAAATTACGATGGACCAACGAAATACTTTGATGTATGAATGAAGTGAAATGAAGCAAACAAAACACATAATAGTAATAATAATTTGATGAAGTGCGACATATGTTTCTCACTTTAACGTTAAGTATTATATCGCTGTTAGACATGCATGCGTTCTATTTAACGACATAGCTCACAATAATTTCAAATAATATACCATTAAAATGCGATTGCAATGCTCATTTGAAAACATAGCGACATTCATGAGCTTAATATCAATTAGGTGAAGACTAACCTGAATTTTATTCTTTACATTCATTTCAGATTCGATTCGAAGAAAGTTTCGAGAAATTGAAAAGTGTAAGAAATAAACAACGCACAAGTACGCATTAAAACGCTACAACAATGATATCAATGAAGATTGGAAATCAAATCATCACACTGTTGGTGTTCTGTGCATTTTTATTCGTCTATGCACATGGATCAATTGTCAATGGGACCGATGAGTCTGAAGATCGCGCCTTCAAATCCAGTGAAATTGGTATGTTGTTGCTATTTCGAAACAGTTATTTATTTTATTTTGTATTTTGATTTGGCTATTAATAAAGCAACGAAGATGAAGAAGAAAAAAATTTGTTTGAAAAGAATAAAAGAGCCGCGTTGCTTAATTTACACTGGCCTACAAATAATTCTCTAATCGCTCTAAAATGAATAAAGAATTTTAAACGAGAAATTAATTTGATTGTATCTTTTTAAAAAGAAACCGGTCGTACATTTGGAACAATCAAGCGATTTCAAGCGGCACTTCTACCAATCATGTATAAATTGGGAGTGTTGTCGGCCGTCATTATGATGACATTATTTTTGGCATTCAAAGGTGTTTTCATCGGAACATTGATCTTGATATTGAATCTAACATTCTTTGCCATTAAATTTGGTTCATATTTGAAACATGATCATGGCCATTATATCGCACCGTCACACGGTTGGGCGGCACCACAAATCCAACATGGTCACGGTTGGGCACCGCACAAAGATGTCCATTTGCACATTCATAATGCACACGGTAAGCCAGATTTCAGTATTCCGTACAGCACTCTAAGCGGCACCACCGGTTGGGATACACAAGGTCATTCGAGTGTGGTTGATCCAACATGGAGCACCAGTAATTATGTACATTCGGGTCGTTCATTCTCCGATGGTAGCGATCTAACACCATATGCTAGTGCACACCAATCGAACACCATCGTCGACAATAGTGATGCGCTGAAGCCAAAAATAATCGAAAAACGAAACGATCGACCGCCAACAATTGTGATGGCACAAACCAAACAAGCTCTACCATCATATAATTATTTAAATAAGCAAATTCGAAGAAAATAAATGTCACCGTCCGAAGACATCACATTTGTAAAAAACAAAAACAAATTGAAAAGTGCAAACAAACAGAGTTACTCTTTCTATAGTATTTCGAGCAAAGATTATATTGCATAAGATAAACGTATGTCTAAATTTAATTTGCGTTTTCGAACGAATCAAAACGAAAAATTTGTTTTTTATCACAAATTGTAAACATTTTCTCTTATTTTCAACTATTCCATTTGGATTGTATGATTTAATTCACCGAGGACAAAAAAATAGATAAATATTTGCACGCTTTATTATTCATCGAAATTTCCATTCGATACGCGGAAAACGAACACTTATTTTTGTGTTGAATTTTTTGTACAACAACAAAAAAGAAAATATAGTTTAATGATAATTATACCATAAGACATCTTAAAAACAAGCACACTCATCGCTCATGAAATGTTTAACGAATGAGAAAATGAACGAATAAGAAGATTGAACCAGCAAATAAAATGCATGCAAAGAAATTCATTCATGAGTTAAACAGTCATGGAATAGAGCTCGAGCAACTTAGACTTTCATATAGAATTTTGAGACGATTGAGCTATGGAGAGTATAGAAAAATAAATAACCAAAATTATTCAGGTTTAATTAGAGGTTAGATGAACTAATTATTACATTGAACGATATCTTATTTGAATAGCTTTTAGTGAATCACCGGTATTTCAGCAATGCGACTATGCAACCAATGACGAAGATCAAATGCTGGAAAATTGTATAAACAATTTAGCGTAGGCCCAAATTCCCCATATTTAATTTATTTAATTTATTTAATTTATACTAAAATATATATAATTCTTTTTTTTTTTTGAATAAAATTTCGTGTGTTTTTTGTAACGGAACAATATAAAAAAATGTGTGGTTTTCTCTTTCGTGAACGTTTTTAACTTCTACTTTGTGTTGCACCTTTTGTCACATTGTCAAAACAATGACTCTGTTGTGTCGATATGATTTCTTTCTTTTAATGGGCAACTTAACATATTTTCATTTATGGCGCTATGGAAGCATCATGGTCTTTGGACGAAACCTGTAAACAGATTTTGGAGAGTGAAAGTTTCGTGAAAATGGCGAAAGTTCATGGTTCACTTATAAAGGATTTCTTCTTATTAGAAACGCTAATAAAAGTAATAGAGTACAATCGATTTTATTGATGTTGGCAAATAGTCTTCTATGGATTAATTAAGTAATCGGCAAATGAATGCATCTTAGATTTATAGTATTCCATAAACACTTAAGATGACGAATGTTAAAGTGCCAATTATTGAATTATTTTGATGTTTCTACTAATTTATTGAACTGATCATCGGGCGGATTTGTTTTTTTTTTTTTAATGTTGTGATGGAATAGATGTCATTGGCAATAAAAAAACGAAAGCTTTTCCACATTTATGACGTGCAAAACTGAACGAAACATTGATATATTGTCAATTTTATATTGAAAAATTGAGTGAGCATTCACGTAAATCAACTGTGAACTGTTTTGTGTTGTGGCAAGATTTTACATCGAAAGCCAGATCGTTGGAAAATGATCGCATGTTTGAACAAGTACTAATTACTGTTACGGACAAATATTACAAAGACATAATAATAATCGGAATGTTGTAAATATTGTTTGTTTTGGACATTTGCGCGTCTGAGACATCGGAGAGAAGGAGAACGAGAGATAATTGCACCAGCCAGCACACGCTCGTTGCGCTACAAAGTGTGCTCGAACAAAGTGACACGAACAGGCAAACGAATATATGAATACATCAAACTCACAGGTTCAATTGGGTTAATTGCACAAATCGTTCCCAGGTGATTGTGTACTATAGACGTCTATGATGCTGATGATAATAATGACGACAAACGTCTTACTGCAATTTATTTGATGATTCTAACAGCCAATGCACCAAAATGAGAATAACTGTTCACGCTTTTTCCGGATCCAAGTTACTGTATGATAATTATCGTGATTTTTTTTTTTTGCTAAATTATTATGATAATCGGCCGGCGATCATAACAAAAACTTATCGTGATCATGAATACACACACAAGGAGCTAATTAGAGGCAAGCATACTAATGCAATCGAGTAAATTTAATAACAACAATTCAAACAACAATAAACAAACATCAATCGATACTTCTAATGAAGCAGACCCAATCTCAAACCAATTATTTGATTATTGGAACAAATGTACCATTTAATTTACTAACAAATTAGAAACTAGAATTTCAATTTTTTCTTTTTCAATTTTGTTCGACATGAGTTGAAGTACACGAAATTTGACAACAACGACAACAGCAATGACTTCTTTCATCGATATACATTCATAGAAAATTTAAACGTCCATAACATGATAGACTTAAGAAACCAAAAAAAGATGCCAGTATTTCTCTAAAGTTTACATTTTAATTGAAATCAAAAGAAGTTTTAAATTTTTTTGGACATATCAATCCATCGAAATTGGTTTGTACATTTTTATATATGGATTCAATCGAAAACAAACCATTCTTTTTTTTTCGTTTGTAGCAAACGACGATGTATGGTAATAAAAATTAAACCTATCTTTAATAATAGTACAAAACGATGGAAAGATGTACCGAAACCAGCAAATAAATAGTCGAAATAATAACATAGCTCTTTGGATTTTGACCTTCACGATTCTAATGTTTCACCAAAAACTTCATACTCATTGTATCGATACAAGATCATTCGGTTTATATTTGTTTCGATTGATAATTGCAACGAAAAGCCATGTATTTTATTTTCGTTTTGCTCTGCTGATAATAGAAGATTGTCAACGCAACAATATGATTCAATGTTTTTTTTTTCTAAGAACTAATGATATATTATTATCTGGAAAATCCTAATGTCATTTTTCGTCTTTCGTTCGATTTGCTCGTGTGTGTGCGTTACTTTTTTTTTGCTCAGTGTAATTGTTTACAAGAGTTGTACAGTTCCGGCGCGACATTTAATTGTAATGTACAAGGGTGCTACAGCACCACCATGTGGATAACTACATGGCCAAGAACAGTTTGTTGAGAATAGCGTATTGTTTCTATGTATTTGATATTTCGTAATACAAACAACAGCATCTCACAGCTCTCAGTGATAAAGTCGGTTAGAGGACTTACAAACAATAGCATTCACAACAAATAAAGAAGTCGGTTGTATTCCTGGCATGATTCTGTTCGAAACAATCGTTTCAAGCATTGTTTCAAGTGATCAGTCTTCTTAGCGATCTTGACGAATTCTAACCGACAGAGAAAACTCTCTTGGCACAATTTTGAGGATTCATCTCTCTGTGTGTGCTTTTTTTTTTACTTTTATTTATTCGTATTGGAACATAGTGTAGTTTTAATTAAATTATCACAAATTCACAATTGAATTCGGGATATAGAAATTTTGTAAATAATAAAATATGCACAGGTTGCTGCTGTCGTTTTTATTCGTGGTTTGTTTAAGCAGTCAATATGCGGAGGCGTATCTTTTTAACAGTGAGTTATCGACTAGTTTTTATTTAAAAAAAACTTGATCCAAATGTAACACAATTGAAAGAAACAAAATCAACGTGAAAAGAATTGCTTCTGGCACAATAAAGTGAAAAAACTTGGTAAAGTAGATTCATTTTTATCTTATTTTTTTTCCTAAACCAAAACAGTGACAGAGTATTTAAGAATGCCGCCGATGGCACGAATGGATGACTATGATAGGTGTTTTCTTGATATACCCGAAGGCGCAACCGCCACATTTTGTATGGTTACCTCACTGATCAAGCCCAATGAAAGCTCAGACATTTGGAATATCATCAATGTACGTAACGTCTAAATGTGATAAATTTTTCATTTAACTTGGTTTTATTGGGGCGATGCATTAGTTTATTATAATTCATTCTATTATCTGATATTACAAGCTTCTAGTTGCTTCCAGTTGCTTCTAGTATAGTTGATGAATGTCTCATCTAATGAAATTTCGTAGTTCACCCCAAGAATAAAACTCATCTCGTTCATTTCGAATTCCGTTTAATTTTCATTTAGAGTGTTGTGCTTTTTTTATCGTGCGATCATTTATTTTCCAACCAATAAAAACAAGACCTGTTTACACTAATCGCGAAATTATGAATCGTCTGGTGCATGCAATGGAATTCTCAAGATAACGAAATAAACATGCACTCATTTCAAATGAGGGAAAGAATTAATGCTAAAATGCAACGAAATATATTCAGATGGATAGTTTACATGCGATTTCTTGCACTTTTTTCTCCATTCGAAAAATTGTTTACATCTTTTTCTAATAAACTTATCTAAGCCTATCAAAAATGAAATCATTAACAAAATAAACTATTTACACCAGGAATTACGCATTCATAACAACTTCGGCGGGTGAACATTGTCAATTTTCTATAGAAATTGTTTTCGTTTTTTTGTTATAAGTCTGTCTGTGATCAGACGGCGAATAAATTGAAAATATGAATTATGAAGTGATAAAAACGTTTTTGTCGGGTATGAAGTCTTGCGATCATTTAATACGGTACATAACTATAAATATTGTAAACTAATCCAAAATTCAGCACGAAACCTGTTTGAATATTTCATATTCGCAGTTTGATTGATATTTCACAAACTGAAGATTTGTCACAATCAATTAATACACGCAAAGCTCATTATTATTTTCTTTTGCAATTTTTTGCAAGGACCATTTTCAACAGATAGTTTTCGCACTACACGCTGAGAGAAAAAAATGCACCATCACTTGTTTTAAATATTACTATTGCTGCTACCATGACAAACAAAAACAATAATTCTATCGCAAGTATTGCTCTAAACTTTGCATTTTGCAATTAACTAGTGTGAACAGAACAGAATGTTATTGTGGTGAACGTATTTTTGATTTTATTGATGCGTCCATGAAATAAAACGGAAATAGTGTGCTGAGCGAGAGAGAACTAATAACTCTTTAACGTGTTGATAATTTTACAGAAATATTCATCGGATAGGAAACGTATCTATCGCCATGATCGATTGTCGCGTGGCATTTGTATGAATTGGTGCAAGAAACAAATGAATTACTTCGATTATGATACCAGGAAATCGTATTACATTGAAAACTTTTACAATGACACAGAAATTTATAAGGATCCAAATTTTCATACACGTGCCCTTGCTGATCGTGCACGATACTACCAATATGCCACCGAATGTGTGAACTATGAACTGCGCAAACAGTACGGTTTAATGGCTCAATCACAGATTCGATATTGCATTACGAACAAGGACAATATCCAATCAACATATGGTATACAACAAACAATTCAATCGAATTGAATCGAATTTTCTTCTAATTTCGTTGTCACATTTTCTCACTTTCAGATAGTCTCGATGTTATCTTCGTAATTCTTTGTACTGTATTAGCCATTTTGGTGGTGCTATCAACCAGTTATGATTTTCATTTGAAGAGGAATAATTTACCCCACTTATGCAATCGTGAACATTACAAGCGCCCTGTTGATAACACCGGATGTAAGTACGGTTTTCTTTTGACCGATTGACAAACCGAATATTTTGGTTGTTAAGTTTCATACATAAAATTTGTGTTTTTCTTGATTCATAATTTTTTATGTAAATTTTGTTTCAACGAACCAACCCAAAGGTTATGCTTTAGCCAATTTGCTCAAATTAAATTGTGCTTGACTACAATAGTTGGTCAGATTTATTTATATCTATATATAGATTCAGACTTAAACTTATGACATTTGCGGTCAATAAGGTTTTATTACGTTTTAAACATGTGTTTGACTATTTTTTTTTTTTTAAAGCGTCATTGTTGATGACCTCTCACATAAAGAGAGATGGAGACAGTTTATTTGATAGGGATACCTTCAATAGAGTATAGATAAACAAGGTTCCGAATAATTGAACATGAATAACCTAGTGCATAGCATATTTCATCGTAACGTCATTGTAACGATCAATTCAAATAGATACCAAAATTATCATTTTCGACGTTTTATTTCCGCAAATGCGCTTAATTTTCCCGGAATTGTATTGTTGACTTTGATATTTCAGTAACAACGTTGTTGCTTTGTTTTTCGCTTCCGAGAAATTGGTACAAACTGACACTTGAGACACAAAATTCGGAACTGTCCAGAGATCTGCGATCGATAAATGCCTTTCGGACGATATGCATGTTCGGTGTGATATGTGCACATTGTGCATTGGCCAACAATATGTGCCCCCAGCTAAATCCATATTATATCGAACAAGTGAGTAGATTTAATTTTATGTTCGCAATCAAAAATTGTGATTAAGTTATTCCCATTGGATTTTAACAGAAATATTTCATCACAAGTCACATGATTATTATCAATGGTGCAAATGCTCTACAATCATTTTTTGCAATTACTGGTTTCCTCATTGCAATACAGTTTGTGGATTTGCGTGAGAAATATAAATTCAAATTTTCATTCTTTTGGAAGGCCATCATCTATAGATACCTGAGGTAAATTGATATGGAAATGGTTTTGATAAAGCATCTCTTTTGCATAATCAAATTATGTTTCATTCAGATATACGCCCGTCTACACATTCATTTTGCTGTTTAATGCAACGTTCTTGTATAAACTGCGTGAAGGACCATCGTGGCCCATTTTAGGTGAAAAATAAGACATTTACAATAATTCGAAATGGTTTTTTTTTAAACAAATATTTATTTCCAATTTAGCCGATGCGGAGCGTCTTGCCTGTCGTAATAATTGGTGGACGAATCTGCTTTACATCAATAATTTTGTAAATGTTCGTGAACCGGTAAGTGATGAAAAGACATTCCTCTCCCTCAAAAGAAAAACTTTATTATATAAACCATCTAATTTTGATTATTTCGCTATGAAGTGTATGCAACATGCATGGTATTTGGCAGCCGATTTTCAGCTGGTCATAGTGGGAACACTCATTCAAATGATTATTTGGAAGTTCACAAAGTGGACAAAAATGGTATTTGGCACAACATTTGCGATTTCATTTTTGATTCCCGCCATAATAACATATCGCTACAGTTTTGAAGGCACATTTATGGCATCACCAGAGTACGTATTAAATCAGTCGAAAAGAAAATTGACAACATTTGAGTTAAAAAAAACATTAAATAATTTATGTGTCACTTGTAGAACGACCAGATATGCACATTGGTACGATGAACAATATCAAACGATTTACATTCCATTCTATACGAATATGGGCAGTTTTGTGCTCGGAATGATAGCTGGCCTACTTTATTGTAAGCATAAACAAGGACACATCGATTTAACCAAGTCAAAGGTATGTGTGCGTGTGTGTGTGTGAAGAAGTCATATTGCTAAAAAAATTGTTGATTGACATTCTATTGAAATCATGTATATTGGATTAGGTATTGCCAGTACTTTGGTACAGTTTATTGCCGATAGCATTTTTGGGTCTTTACTCCGGCGCACTTTTCTACGCAAATAACTTTGAAAAGCCGGCCATTTGGATTGCTATCTATGCTGCTGTTATGAAAAGTTTATGGGGAGTATTTGGTGCAACGCTTGTGCTTGGCTCCGCTTTGAATACAGGATGTAAGAAAATTATTGTGTTCAACATTGAAATTATGTATATTCATGTATATTTAATGTTTGGCCTTTTATGTCGATGTTTCAGGGGTGTTCAAGAATATATTGCGAATGCAAGTATTCCGAACGATGGGTCGTTTGACTTTTGGTGCCTATCTAATTCATCCATCGGTGATTCGTGCATCGTACGGTAGCATGCGTCATCCATTTTTCACCGACGATTTTCGAGTGGTGAGTATCGTTTCCTTCACTCTCTTTGTTCAATTGAAATGTGTTTTTTTCATCAAATATATTTAAAATGACCAAAAAAACAAATCTTTTTTCTGATTTCATTCATAGTATGATAACACAGTGTCCGCCTTTGTCACCTCCTATGTTTTATCATTTTTCGTGTGTATGCTGATCGAAATGCCATTTTCCATCATTCAAAAGCTGATATTCAATCGTGATAGTAATCGAAGCGAAAAAACCATTTACGAAACAACCGAAACCGAAGCAATAAAATTGTCGAAAAAAATGGTAGAAGTCGAAGAGAAAACCATTAAATCGTTCAATTGAGCGTCAATTTGCTGACGCATGTACGTGTATCATCGAATGAAGCATCGCACTTGATAGATGTGAGATATATATATAGGCGCTTAATTTATACAAGTGAAACGACACACCCGTTGATCAGGAATATTAAGCTATCTAAAGTCAAATGTGAATAAATTAAATAGAATTAATAAAAATAAATTAGTAAATTTAAATGGTTTATTTTTTTTGTTAATGTTCATTCGTCGTTATTTCATTCATTGTTGGTCCCTGATCAAGAAATCATCAAAACATCTCTCTTTGTCCGGGCACCATATTTAATAACACCTTATTCTAACATCATGTGAAACATTTTGTTGATTGCTAATTTTGATTTTGAATTATATAAAAAAATAATACATTCGCTCCAAAAATGCCAAATAAGAAATTCATTCTCAGAATATCATTCAAATTAATGATAATTTACAATTCTATAATTATTCGTGGTGTCTTTTATCATCTTAATATTTAATTAGTTTTGAACAATTTAAAATTTCTTCAGTTTCATTCTCTAATTTTGATACAAAAAAAAGTTGATTAAACAATCCGAATAAAAATTGCATGCTCAGATATTTTTTTTTCTTATGCCATAAGATATAGATTTTGTTCGCATGTCATAAAACCGAACTTTTTTTCACATTTTTTTTTTTGTTTCTGTATGTTATTATGAAATTTGAAACCGATAACAAAATTTACAACTTATAATTTACATCTAACATCATAGAATCAAAACGAATCCATAAAAATATGTTATTTATAATGATATAGATACATAAAGGGAATAGGTTATTCGGAATTTGTAAATGTATTACAAATCAATCTAGATCTGTTTTCTATTTTCTCATTATTTTCATTTTATGTGATTGAATTTGGGCATTAATCAAATAAGAATACATTAGGGAAAGATTTTCTCATCATCATTCACTGTCCCATTAAATGTTCCAAGTAATCGTTCGGGGTTGGCAGATTTTTTTTTTTTTGAATCGATTGCTACGAAAATAAACCGTAAGTATTTATATAAAAAAGGATTTATAGTTTTCGACAAAACAAACAAAAACAAAATAAATAAATTTCTTAAATTGGAATGAACGCAATGAAATCAATCTCTCATCTTTAAAAACGTATAAATAAAAGGTAATAAATGATGTGGAAATAATAGAGAATTTTGTGTTTGAAAATGCGTTTTGTTTGTTTTTTTTTTTCGAAAGAAATATTGGCTTCAATAATCGGCTTGGATTAATTAATTTCATTCCATAAATATGTACACATGATATCAAAATGGCCAACTCAAAGTATTGTACAATCAGGTGAAATAAAGATGAAAAAAACAGTAATTTGCTTGTTTTTATCAGGCTATAAGTGTGTTTCCATTAAAAGTCTAATATCGGTTTTTAGGTGCGCAAATTGCAGTCGTAACCGATGCGCATTACGATTACATCTTCAAAATGATTCAAACAATCAACACATTTATTTTTATTGGTATCGGAGAAAATAGATTGAGGAATAATAAATAGTCGGTTACATCCCCTCTCCCCATCTCATTCGAATGCAATAAATCACAAACATTCATCTGGATTTTGGGCACAATATTTTGGAAACATTGGTTCAGCTTCCAAACCGTATTCCACTAGTCGATTGCGAAATATTGAGAGGCGGCTAAATGTCTCTTTCGGCACAATATCCAAATCATTGCTATCACCGGGATCAGACCATAACCTAAACAAAATGAACAAAGAAAAACATCTCAAAATTTGATTTAACGAAAATTTATTGTACACGTAATACCGTTCAGCGAATGCAGCAGTTCTGGGCCAAATTCGAGAATCGATATTACCCTCATCTACTTGTTCTGTCCATAAACACGCCTCTCCACCAAGAATCTGTGTAAGCAAATGAATTTCACTTCAAAAATGTATCGACTAAGTTGTCAGTGATATCGATCGAACAAACCTGCTTCATTTTAATGGGATCCAAGTGCATTCGATCCCATGGACGGTGTTTATAAACACGTTGCCATATTGTGTACGGCGAACATGCGCCTTCACCAGTTGATCGCCAGCTACCGAATCCACAGTCTAAATACCATGCATCAACATGTGACACAATGACATTAAATCCATTCATAATTAAGTCATAGTTTTCTTGCCACGTGCTGCCGCCCCATACTTGAACCGCAAAATTATGCCGCGATAAACACTGCGAACTGGTCAAACCGCTACTCCATACCACAACAATTTTTGGCGCTGTATTTTTATTGGCTTTGATTAATTTTTGGTATGCTTGTAGCATAAAATCACACCACAATGAACGCAAATCAGTGTCATTAAAATATTGGCTCCAGCATTCTAAATTTACTTCATCGCCACCAAGATGGAAGACATCAGTTAAACCAGTCGATTCAATGAGTTCATTATACAATTTCTCCAGCACCAAATATGTATGATTGTTCTTTGGATTTAGTTGGCCACACGGTGGCTCACCTAATTGAATAATACAGAAAAAAGAGAAGATTAATGCGCTAGAGCGATGTGAGGTGACAGAGTAATATATTTTGGATGTTACCGCAATAGAAACTCCACGGCTGTTGATTGATACACATCGCGAGTTCGCCCATTCCATATTTTGGTCCCCAATCCCAACCTATAAATGTAAATTGCAAAACCAAAAATCAATTTATAAATGAAACCAAAATGGTATGCAAAGAACTTTTGAACTTCTAAATGTCAATATGTTACCATTTCCAACATGTGCTGGCGCATCAATTTCAGGCAAGATCTATGGGAAAATTTATAAAATAAATTGCTTGAGAAAACTAAACAATAAAAAAAAAAAAAACAAGCAAAGAGCTTGGTGAATTGTAAAGCTGAAAAACTTTTCCGTACTTGAATGCCCCGGATACGTGCAAAATCGGCTACGTGTTTGATGTCATCGGCAGTGTATATCTCTTTGCTCGAATATGCTCCATATTTGGCTAATTGTGGATATGCTTTCGACATGTATGGAAAACTTTGTGAATCGGTTATATGCCAATGAAATCGATTGAGTTTCGCATGAGCCATACCGACAATTATTCTCTTTATCGTTTCGATTGAAAAATAATTTCGTGACGTGTCCAACATAAAACCACGATATCTGTATCAAAACGATAACAAGTTTTGTAGACAATTTACAAAAAAAAATCAGAAGAACTTTTCACATGACATCATGGGATGCCATCGGGAATGAAAAATGTACCTGAATTTGGGCTCATCGATTATTTGGGCTGTGCTTAAAACTCTAAGTAAATTATCTTCGTCATCGAACCAAATTAATTGCTGCAGTGTTGATAAACCATGTCGAGCGCCAAAAAATGATTTCGCTTTTAATTGAACATGCACGTTTCCATTAAAATCTAGTAAATCAATAATTTAATTAATAAAATCGTCGTCATTTTGAAAAAAAAATCAATAGAAAAGAAATGTGGAAAATTATTCATACTTGTCACATTTAACTCGTAACTTTCATTCGTATCAATATTTAAAAAAACATCGCCAATCGATTGAATCTCGGCATTTATAATAAATTTATTAATATCACAGCTCTGTTTTGCATTTTCATCTACATTTGCACTGTTTGCCTGCGGCTCATCCATGTCATCGCTCGTCTTTTCACCGTTCTTTTGATGTTTGTTGTTGTCATTAATACTGTTTTTATATAAATCACTTTGTGTGCGAGTGTGATGAGCATGTTGTTGCTCAAGCGATTTTAAATCGAATAGAAACACATTGTATGCACTAATCAGCAATTGTTTGGCCTCGCTAAATTTTGTTTTTACATCGAATTGCAATTGATTTGATTTGAATGTTAACGACCGACTACTAAGTGATATTTTGCCTGTGGGCATTGGCCATATATTTGATGTGCCACAGATCATTGCACAGCTCATGAATGGTATACGCTTTGTGCCAGCTGGATAATGTTCCCGAACACATCGATCTCCAACACATCGATAGGTCCAGGATCTTTCAAGCGGACTGAAAATGGAAAATCGATGATTGTTAAACAGTTTAATGATTAAATTAAAAAAAACGGATATTAAATTGATTTACGTACGTTGGCACATCAACTTTTGTAAAAATTGAATTTAGCGTTAATGCCGCTGGTCGCGGTGGATTCTGATTCCAATAAAAAACCATTATAAAGATCGTTACTGTAAAGCCCAATAGAGCGAGCAGCGTACGCCGCAGAGATGTTGGTAATGCCGTCATTTTGTATTTAGCCGGTATTTTGACTAGAAACCTGAAAACAATTTCAATGAAATTTATTTAGTTGGAAAATGCACACGAACTACTTTAACTATGAAAAGAAAACAAAAACACTTCCAACTCTCATGAAATTTACTTTCGAAATTCGATGACATCCTTACCAATGAAATATCAAATTATGCAATCAATCAAAAGAACAAATCGATTTTACTCAATTCTTTCAAAATGCCATATATGTATTCCATTGTTGAGCTCGAACTCAGAGAACAACTAATGTCTAATAATTCATGTACGATATTGTTTTGCTTTCGCTGACAAACTTACAAAAATAAAAGTTTTTTCAGTCTTCCAAGTCCCATGATGGCATCTTAATTGATTAATTACAACGTAAATGAAATGATATTTAAAGAGAAAAAAATAGAACAAAATTAACAAAGTCACCGAATATCAATAATTTAGATATTCCAAACTAAAAATTATTTGTTCGAAAAATAAAATGAAATGTATGTTTGTTCAAATGGATTGAATGTAGTAACAAAAAGCTTTGGTGGTAATTATGTGTGCTTTATTGGAAAAGCCGTGTACACAATATCGAAAAAGTGAACGGAGAAGGGGTGCTAGAGGAAGACAAAGAAAGAGAACAAAAGAAATGTAGGAAGACAGGGACGGAAGAATGAAAAACACGAACACAATATCAAGTTTTAACAAATATATACACTGGTTTATGTACTAAAATAGGCGAATCATTTCGAAATGTTAAAAGTTCCTTGCGTGCAACACTCCGTGTATAAAATGAAAATGGGAAAATGGTTTTTTTTCCTTTTCATTTGACGCGATGAACACGAATCCACTTTAATAAGAATGAATAAAGTATGATTAGTTTTACGTAAACCGGTGACTAGTGTGTAACATTTTAGTCGAATGGTCATATAAAAAGTCAGTTATAGATTAGAATTTGATACGCAATAACCATATAATTCAACTCGCAAAGGGACTTGTGCTCATTGTTAACCAATTGAGTCATCAACCATTGAAAGAAACCATTCTTATATTCATAATTTTTGTTTGTTTGTTGTTTTTTTTTTTTGTGAAAAAATAAAATTGATGAAAAACATTGAATTGATACGATTGAATAGTTGAAAAAACATTCTTACGATTGGATTGAAAAGTTGATATTAAAACCAATCGCGAATAAAATAAAATCAAGGAAAAAATGTCATTGCAACGAATTGCAATAATTTCGGCAGTTAGCTCACATGGTATAATGCGAAATCGTACCGTATACTATGAACGACAACAAAACGAAACGAATTTCGATCGAGGAATCAATCTGCAACAACATTTCAACGTTTTTATTGGGGGGTAAGTAAAACAATTACCAATGGTCAAATTTGTGAAATTTAACATGAAGGGGAAAAGGGTTCTCTCTCACAAAAGGTATAAAAGTTTTATTAAATGAAATGAGTAGAGAAAACTAAACAATTAAAATGCGAATCGATTGAAATGTTACTTGTTGTCCACATCAAAGACGATAACTGTGTAGCTTTTATAGGGTACATTAAATTCGAGGTCTTCATTTTCAATGCCGAATAGCAAAAGTTTTAAATAGCAACTTGTTTACGATTTTAAAATGCCAAGATAAAAGACACGTCATTTTTGTGGGCCGAAGATTTATTAAAAATTCTGACATAAATAAGGTTCATATCGGTGTAGTTGTAGGGGATGTGCCGTAAAACCAAATACCTTTTTACTGGACGTACTAAGAGCACAGGCACAAATACGAATACAAGCATAACGCCACATTTCCCACAACTGTTATCGACAAGTGTTCATAACATCAACAACAACAACAATAATCATTAGAATAAAAAAGAAGAATCAAACTAACACAGATACACAGAATACCGAAACAATTAAATGTACAACTCTGTACACTATCGAAATTATGCCCTAAAATCTTTGTTTTTTTATGGCATTTGTGACCAATCACACTATGACGTTGCCTTTGAAACTTATTAAATAAATGATAATAACAAAATATTTAATTTTAAGCCATTTTCTGTAAGCTAAACTAAATATTTCCGTTTAGCATTCGGTAGGAATGTTCATTTGTAAAATCAAATTTAAATTTTATTTGAAAAGATTTCGAGATATGACAAATCTGGGTCTCTCGTACAGAATTGTTTTTTTTTTTTTGTTTGATATATCTTTTCCCAACATACAAAATAACTCCGGTTAACATGTTCGGGGACATGTTTTAATGCACCAAAGCACTTAAAATTTTGTTTGATTTGGTTTTTTTTCTGTTCGTGTATTTAATCGCTTAACATCGAAAACACAGCGCTTTTCTATCATTCGCCATTACATTGTTGTGTGTTGTGTGCTACTGCTTCAACAAGATTATTAACAAAAATTCAATGGCACTTTACCGTCGACATTTAATGGAGGCAGCGAATAATCAAAACGTTGACATTTACACCGTTGAACAGGTAAAGGATTATTTTCTTTGATGGCATCTTGTATTCTTATGAAGTTGAAGCACAAATGTGTGAAACTTCAATGAAGATTCGCATTGATTAATTATTAATGATTCATGGTGGGTTCTTTTTTTCGGAATGTTTTGTGCATGTACAGTTTTATGAAACGGAAGCATTTGCACCGTTGTGTGACACACAATCAGCTCAAAGTGTTTTACCGCCATCGTACGATGATGTTATGGCCGCCGAAAAAGCGATTTTAAATAAATACGCAAAAATGTGCACATCCACCAAATGCTGCGAACACTCCCAATTGAATCGATCAAATGCAGACCGTTCTTCAACCGATGATGGCACAAACATAAATGACAACATTGCCGAAAATTCAACAGCAACCGGCAACGATGGCAAACCAGATGCGGTAAGTAAGCTTGTGTACACACAAATTAGTTGATAAAATCTGTGAGTTTTGCGGTTGGTTTTTGTTTTGGAATTTAGTTAAGCGAGAGTGAAACTGAAGCCAATTTCATGCCTTTGTATCCACCAAAATCTATTTAATCGATTCGTATTCGTCTTTTTTTGTCGTTTGGGTTTCATTTGAATGAATAGAATAATCAAACAACGGATGGAAACGCTTACGATGATAATGGCAATGAAATCACCAGTTACCAAGGATCAATGTCGTCGATATGCTGCGTTTTAGATCATGCCAACGATGAAAATACTTGCCGGTACATTTACTCTTATATTTGTTGATATAATTTTTTTTTCTGTACTCATGGGCTATGTACTGTATATACTCAATTGAGTGTTCTATGTAGTTTTAACAATGTGTGCAGCTCAAATGATAATCCTTTTTTAATCAATTTAAGTGGTTCAAGTACACTTTAAATAAACTTGAAACGCTGTTGTTGTAACTTAATTAATTTTAACATTTCAAAGAGAAAATCTCATACTCAATCTCTTCGTTTTTGTATTTTGTTGCCATATAGCGCGCAAAAGGTCTGTAGTTGTGTCGACAATTGTTCGGTGCATTGCAATAATATTAGCAGCGAGACGATGGATACAAACGCAAATCCATCTACTCAAGAAGAGGAAAATGGCAACAACTCTGCCACTTCAACTGATGAGAATAACACTCTGGACGCCAACAACAATGCAGAAAGGTATGTAAGCGCACGAATTCAATTTGAGATGAGCAAAGTAAGAAGAAAAATAATATTGAGTATAGAATGATTTTGTTTTGCCAAATTTTATTGTATGTTCGTTGTAAAGATTGTCATAAACTATTTGGGTAAATTTTATTTCGTTCTTTTTATGGGCTCCAATAGGTTGGAAATGCATTCGGGCAGATGTCAATGCACTCATCAACGTCACAGAGATTCGCCCGTTGAATTCAATGTTCTCAGTGACAATGGCATTGTTCGCATGGATATGAGCAAAATCATTGACAGAACTGGTTTGCCTACATACGATGCAGCAATCAAATTAGAATCATTCGGATATGTATAATAAAATATCAAATAACACGAGATTAAAAAAAAAAAAATTCAAATATTACGGGCATAACATCAGCTTTAAAACAACTACAAAAAATACTCCCAGTTTTAAAATGTAGTTGCATATCAAATTTGACGAATTGTGGCACAATGCCCGATAATTGTGCCTTAGTATTTGTAGTTAGAATTATATTATCCTTTTTAGACTGTGAAATATCTCTGCTATTCCAGAGATTTGTATTCGGACATCTTACAATGATATGGTTAGACATGCTTGTTTTTTCAATGGCTTACAGCACACCAAGATATCTACAAACGCATACCGATAGTACAGTGTGTTAGTTTGTCTTACAATAATTATTACACATATAGCTATTCGAAAACGAATCTCTGTTATACATATTAGGGCACATTATTGTTGTTTTTTCTTTGTATCACATTTTAAGCAGTACAACAAATGAATGTGTCGTTTGAATATCCGTAAAATCACATGTCTAAATATTTTTGAAAAAAACTTTTAACGACTGATGCAATTTGCACGATTTGAATGACAGTCTATGAGATGCTATTTCCTTTTGCTTTCATTCTGATCGTTCCGGAAACTGTACATTTTTCGCCGATTTGAGCATGTTAATTTATATCCGACACTTGTCATATGGCATTCAATTTGGTAAACAAGCAATATTTTGTACCACAATTCACTAACGGAGGTGGAAGTAGCTTATGATTTATTTACATTCTAAATTACATACATCATAATTTTAAAACTATTCAAAATGTGTTCGTTCTGAATATTTGCAGAGCAGTATGTCAGCTATCTGAATACCGATGATATTCGCAGACGCTGGTGCTCTAGAAGACAAGCATGTCGAATACAAGCCAGAGACTCAAAATTGAAGAGCGGACAAAAGAGAATGAAAATAAAAACACATTCATACTGCAGGCTGTTGACTTTTGTACTGCGCAATGCTGAGTACCGGCATCTGAGAGCGCATATCAGCGCATATTCAGATAGCTAATAGTACTACCTCTTAATTTTTGTAAAAACATTATTGTTTTCATCAATTTTTTGTTTTAAGAACTTAACTCACTGCTTACTCATATCTTGCTTCAAACGTGCTAGCTTTCACGTTGCACCGGTGAAACACCGTTTTATTTGAGTGATTGAGAATAAAAATAAATGTTCAAAGTGTCACACAGCTAGCGCCACGACGGAATTCCGTGTGATCTATACTAAGTTGCCGCAAACTAGTGAAAAGATTTTTCTTCAGTTACAAACAACTGACTAGAACTCTATAGTTGCCCGTAGTGGCGCTAGCTATGCCACAGATTTTCATTTTATACAACATAAGTTGATCAAAGTTAATTGGTTTTCATACAAAGGAGATGCCTACAGACGGCATTTTCTTAGAACTTGCACTGAGACGACTAGACCACTAGATGGCATTGTCTTTCGATTTAAAATATATTGAGTTGACTATACATTTTAAATGACACGAAATAGCGTGCTTTGGGACATTTCGATTTTGTGACGTCAGAAATTTGGCTCTTCAACGTGTTATTGCCAATGTAGAGTTCAATTTTTGTATTTTAGTGGTCTACATTTAGAGTTCCACTGTAAAGCGATAAATTGTTCTTTTCCCAAAATTGAAACGTACGTCCTAGCTCGTGTTATTTCAAATGAATAGTCAATAAAATGTCTGAATTATTCAGTACAAGTTTTCGATTCTAAAATAAACAGAGGCTGTTTAGACCGTGATTTTAGCAGCTCCTTCTCGGCTATTTTGGGACGTTTGTTGTCTGAATGCAAAATTGACTATAATCGATTTGGATTCGTCCTATTTTGTTCGAAGCAATTGCATGCGACGGTCAAAATGGCTCAAATTAACCGACTATATAGTATATACACCGGTACATATGTTCTGATAAGGCATAGTGAAGAGTGCCCTTGGCCAAACTGTTAAATTGATTCCTTATCACAAATGTGCTTATCAATTTCAAAACGGTGTTTTTGTTTAATTGCATAGAAAAATTCGACCAATTCAGGTAAAATACCTTAATCTTATCTCATAATATATATATTTGTCCGTAATTTTACATTCAATTGATCAAACTTTGTAAAAAAAATATCATATTAATAATATGTTTGTAAAATGCTGATATAGCGCGTTAGTTAAAGTATGTTTAAAATTCAAAATATATGTAATCACAGTAATGAGATCATCGAAACAATTTTTTTAAATATTACAATTTTGGCAAATTCTTTAGTTTTTCAAACAAACCAAATACATATTCGTGAAAAATGACAAAGAATTTAAAATGCAATATGAGATGGGAAATCTCTCGTAAGAAGACTTGAGCAACATTTTTATACAGTTTGGGCTTGTCAGATTTTGTTCCTCTCTGAGACTTTTTGAATGCAGCCATAAATTGAGTTTTTGAGTGAAAATTCAGAAAAAAATCAAATTATGGTATTAACGAAAAAAAATTCCAGAGAGAAATAAAATTGAACAAGCTTAATCCCAGATTGTCTTCAGACATCAAAACAAATTTGTCGCACACTAAAAAATGATATGTATTTAATAAATTTCTACAATCTTACATTTATGTTTCTTACGTCTAAAGAATTTTATTTTGAATTTTTATTCCGGTTTATCGCAAACTTGAAAGTGTCAGAATAAAAAAATCAAAGAATTTCCCAAAATCAAGATTAAATTAGCGATATAAATGTTTTTTTTATGTTTTCAATTTGATTTTCAACAATAATTTACTGTGATTGAGATCTATTGAGAATATTCTGAGAAACACAAAGACACACAAAAATTCATGAAAACACTGGATATAAAGTTAACTAAAGTTTAAAAAAAATAGTTTTAAGTGGATGTTTAGATTAGCAGCTAATTTAAAAGTATTTACATTGATAATATTAAAAGAGTGTGTAAATGTTGTAGAAAAAGAAAAAGAAAGAAATTTGAATAAAACAGCTAAAGGAATTAGTAATTCAGAATTTTGAGTAAACAAATGCCATTTGACATGCATAAGTACAAATTTGTACAGGTGTAAATTATAAAGTTCCGGTTGCTATTTAACTGTTGTTTGTTGTTCATATACCGATATTATATATTCAATTGTTGAAACCATCGAAGTATTCAAATGCTTACGCGTATTAATTATTGGGATTAACATGCTATAAAATTAAAACCGATTACCTGTGTGACATTTGATACAGGCACTGAATTTCGCTACAAATGAATGAATACGTTTGCCATTTGTTTGAAATTTTATCGGATCGCACATCATAATTTATAGATTGCAATTTTATTTTATTTTTTGCATGTTACAAGCATAAATACAATGAAATTGTCAGCTGGTATAGGCGAATGCGCCAAAACCTACCGTACAGAAATAAAAGAGCGCATGAGAAGAAAATAAGTTTGACACAAATAGAGATGTAACTATACACAAAAAAAAAAAACAATTGGAAAGTCGAGCATCGCACACACAACCTACATTTTACGCTTTGCAAGAGAGCATCGTAACTATTTTTTGTTCATAAAATGCAAATATACACAGAAAATTATAAGGCATATGCCTTCATCACCCCATGAAATACAATATTGTGTTATTGTATTGCTAACAACTGAAATGTCACCGAAAACCTTATTTTAAACACACAATTTGGGTGGGTATTTCTTTGATTGCTGAAAAATAAAACCGGTCTCCCTCTCTCTCGTTTTTTCTATCTCTTTCTCTCTCTCTTGATTGATTTTTGTCTGAAGAGCGTATCGAGAACAAACCAAAATATTTAACAATTAAAACATTGAAAATACCATTATCAAGTGCTTGCAATTAAATTGCAAATGCTGTTTACAAATGTTGTGTCTGATGAATAGGGCTGTCTCTGTGGTTTGTTTGTTTTCTTTTTTATTTTAATCTCACTTCCTTCAATCTTCTATCGAATTGTCTACACTTTGTATTTGATACGCGTGCCGAAGATGTATTCTCTCTTAAATTTTAATACTTTTATTTAATTTTAATTGATGTTGCTCTTTTTTCGTCTCTAATTGAAAAACATAACACAACTTTTCACTATCAAACACACAATGTAAATGCTTGCCATATGAACTAATAGAATTGAGAAACAACAATAGACGGAGTGAGATAGATATGGCAAGAGAACTGTCATTGTACGATATTGTTATGTACTAAAAAGAATATTTTTTTTTGACAGTTCACTGAAACGCGCTACATGAGCGCTTGCCGATTCGTAACCGCTTGAAAAAACGAGATGAAGCGAAAACAACCGACTACTATTGTGCAGTGTCTACCGAAAGTCAACATCAGCCGTCTTCGTCGACAACTGTATGCGTAGAAATCTTTCGGTGTATGTGAACGTATATGTATGAGAGAAGGAGCGAAAGAGCGAGCAGACGTTGTTATGTTAAGTGGAAGCAGTACGTAAATATAAAAAATATTGAGCATGTGCGCCAAGTATGGTACTAATGTTTTGTTACGGTAGAAATGAGCTCAAGCATTTAGCATTTAGTTGAGGTGTAAACCACAGAACGATTTGAACGTAAACATTTTTCCATCTCCTTTTTTTTCGATTTTTATTTTCTTCTCGAATTTTCTTCATTCACCGCACGAAAGTGAATGCAACCAACGAATTTTAAATGAAACACCAAAAACTAAATGTATAATCAATTTCATTGAACGCATACATTAAATATGCATTTGTTGTGAATGGATACAAGTATCGAGCATGTTAACTGAGCACGATATGAACGCAAAAAAAAAACGACAAAATAATGATGAACACACAAAATACGAAACAGACACATTTTTAAAAGTAAATTCACATTCAATGCCCAATGCCCATGTTTTACATATACGTATAAATGTACATGCACAATCAACAGAGAAAATTATATTCATTACGTTGGCATATAGTATGCATGCGCTATTCCAAAACGCGACGCCAAGTCATTTTCATTTGGGCGAATATGACATAGTTTTGTGGTTGTTAAGAACATACGAATTTCATTATATTAAAATACTTCGTCAGTAAAACGAACCATAAATTATTTGCTTGAGGACCAAATCAAGAGGTTTTTGGCCACATCTTTTTTTTTTATTTATTCCCGAACTCTTGTTGAACATGTAGAAATATTTTTGTTTCGGTTTTATGGCTTGTTTAGTTCGTTTACACGGCAATGGCAATGCTCGAACAAAAACATTTTTCCAGCAATGTGGTTTCTTACGAGCAGCAGCAGCAGCTACAGAAACGGCGATGAAAGTGGTGGTGGCGGTGGCGGAGCTACAGAGAACCTGAAACAACAACAAGGCGAGGCAACAATTTTACCTACGGGTGACAATCACATCAGAACACACGAAAATAAAAACAACAGCAACAAAAGAAGAAAAAAAGGAGCATAGAGGGAAATAAGTTTGCAAATAAAGAAGTGCACACGAACTCGATTTACTCAGTATTAGCATTCATGATGCGGTTTATTTCAATATGCACACACGAATATGTGTGCAGAACAACTTTCGCTTCGAAATGTCACATTTCCGTTTGCGATGCAGTACAATATGCGCGCACACACAATGGTTATATATCGACTTAAAAATAGAACACAACATTTCAGTTATCTGCCGTTCTGTAATTGTGTGCCGTGTATATGCACATCGAATATGCATTTTGAATCTTTATCCTCGCGATGGTGTCTGGACGCGAATGCCAGTAGCACCATCAACGAGATAAAGTAACCGAATGACGGAAGCGAAGAACAACACTTACATGAATCGGTAGCCTTGTTTTCTGTTGTTGCGCCAATACTAATGTAAGAACTTCGCTTTCGGGTTGCAATGCCATAAAAGGGCTAACAAAAATAAATCAAAATCCAATTGGAAACCAACAAGCAATAGTCGTAATCAAAACGAATGGTGAATGCCTCACTTCCAATACTCCATACTCTCTTATTGTTTCAAGCGCTAAAAATATTTAGAAAACTTACTCATCGAAATCGGTGCTACCAATAGATGCCGAGAGAATGAAATCAACCAACAACAATCGTACTGGAGAGAATATGGTTCCAATGATAACAAACAAGCGTATGGGTCATTAGCACTAGCAGTGATTCGGTTTGATTATTAATCCATGCATTCTGTTCGGTTCATGTGCAATGTGTACTCTGTTGCATTGGTTATTAGTCATTCATTATGGTGCATGGAAAACTTTTTCCAAACTGAGCAACGGTTGTTTTTCATTAGGATGTTCCATTGTATTTGTTTTTTCATCGAAAAATAGTGAAACATAAGATATTTGGACTTAGATTCTATTTCAGTGAATAAAGCAGATATGGATCACAATTTCACTGATTTGATTTTTTTTTTTTTTTTATTCAATCGATTTCTTTTGCGGCCAATTTAAATATTGCCAGAACCGCGTTCGATTAGTGGTTTTTAATGTTTCTGTTATACACAAAGGATTCATCATGCGAATCAATTGTTGCCATCTATATTATTTATGCCGTTGGAAACCAAGTGATTGCGGATTAAGTTTTTCAGTGTCAATCAACGTGAATGGGCCTCATTTTGAAACACACAGAATTACCTTAACAGTTACATTTTGTGTGTTTCAATGAATACTGTCAATATTGTTATTAGATGCATTCATTGGAATTAAAGTAGAGAGCGAAGTTGTCGCTGACACAGAGAATGAGAAAGAGAGAGAAAGATGAAGAGAGAAAATGTGTGAGAGAGAACGAGACAAAATCTTAAATGAATTGAAATGAATGAATGTGCGCGAATCGAATGTATGTAGTATGTGCGTCTGACAGAGAGAAAAGAAAAATGGGATTGATAATGATGCAATTCTGCTCTTATTCAATTGAATACAAGCATGTCTGTATCATACAATACCGTTCAAAATGAAGCGCTTATTTGATATACGACACACACACACACACTCGGATATATCCTTATATGGTATTTTTGTATCAAATGCACAGACACTAACCAACATATCTCCCTGGTATTTTCACTTCACCACACAGAAATGTGAAGACTTTTATCGTAAAACCGAACAATTTGCATAAAATTGCAATCATTTTTGGAGCATCATACATGCCCATACAAAGTGAACTAAGCATTTGTTTCACCTACAAGTACAATTTGCTATTGATGAATGGCTAAAAGAAAGTCAAAAGTTTTTTGTTTTGTTTGAAAAAAAAAAAGAGAATGAAAGATAGTGATAGAGGAAACGAAATATTCGTACACGCACAAACATTACCCATTTGTTGAGTGCTGATGCATTGCCAAAGGAACAAAAGTCAGACAGACTATCATGTACATACGGAAACGGAACAACGTTTTGTTTCTATTCAATGTATTGTAGTCAGATTTTTCCTCACATGGTTGCGTTGAACGAACATAGCTCGAACATCAGTGACAAAAATGAAAAGCATCCATTTGATTGTAGATGGAAACAATGACGAAAGCAAAACGGTGAGCAAATGTGCTCTATAAGCGTACTCTTTGCGTATATCGCCCACATATGCACATGAAAAAAAAAACACAAAGCAAAAGAAAACGATATTTCCAGAAAGACGGGAGAGAGAGAAAGAGAAACTAACTGGAACAGCAGTGAGCAACAACTAAACCAAATGAGAACAAAGCAAAACACTGTGCCAAGATAAGTGGTGGTCGGCCGATTGGTCCGCACACAATGTTGATCTACAGCTGCGCCCGTTGGTTATATTCGCGCCAATTGCCCATGGTGTATAGATTTGCGAGTTCGACATGGTGTGATTTTGCCGAGATTTGTTTGTCATTCACTCCATTTTTCCGCACATTCGGTTTGCACCCTCGAGTATATTACATATTGAGCTACACTTCAAAAGGAAAAAGGCCGATCGCGTCAACAGAACAACAACACAACGAACAGGAATATCAGAAATTGAATGGGTTTTGTTGCCGTTTTTTTTTCTTGCTCTCTACTTTTCACTACTGACTATTGTTATCTGTGTGAAATTGTGGCTTTAACACAATATTAATAATTCGTTTAAACTTGTTGTTTTTAATCATTTTAATAAAACAAAAAGAGATAGAGAAAGAGGAGGAGAGGAATAGAGAATGTAAACGAAAACGAAAAATTGCGTACTTTTGAATATTCGAATTGTATTAAATAGTGTGTAACATATTCATAAAATGGAACAAAAATTAAATCAAATGAAATCAAATCAAATCAAAATATATTACAAGAGCACACTTGCAAGCCACAAGGAGTCAATAAAAGCTTCATTCCATCACCAGCACATACACCAGCACTGGCGGGCGCACTGGAATGAGTTGTTGTGAGCATATATGATATCGCAGGTGGGTTGGTTGAAAATTGTGTACAATGTTCATACAGGCACATGTGCGCGGCTGACGCATCTCCTGTTGATTGAAATAGTGCTGTAAAAGGTTTTTATACAATGTTTTTTTCTGCTCATTCTTTCTTTTATGAATAAACAGGGAAAAAACGCAACACGACCATCTCTACCATAAATTCATTCAACTTCTCTCTTGCTCTTGTAGGTTGAGTGTGGAATGGTATTTTATGGTAAAATGTGCGAACGGTTCATATTGGCCACTGTTCAGCACCAATTCAATGGTGTGTTGGATAAAACGCCGTGTACATAACAAAACTCAAATATAGCCCATTTCCCCAGTTTTCACAGTGTGCCCGTTGCTACATATTTTCCAACACATGATATTTCGTTATAATGTTTTTCTCGAATGAACTAAAACTGAACTGAATACCGTACACACCGTCGCTATATTCCGAGCAACACACACAATACAAATGCACACAAGTTGCTCTCTCTATCTCTACCCCAAATACACACGTTTAAATCGAAGGAGGCACAAGTACACACAAAAATATTTTGTGTATACATTCTCAAAAAGAGAGCGAAAATGCGCTACTATTTATAATATTACGTCAATACCAATTCAGTATTCATAGGAAATTTCCCAGGGTTGGTACGATATGTACGTGCGAGAGCGTGGCGTGTTTTAAAATAAAATAAAAATTTCAGATACATATACCCCAAAAAAAAAATTATATATCTAAACCAAGTCGAACACGAATAAACGAGTTAAGGCTTGATATAGCACGCGAAATAAATCAACGTTGAATTTG